AGTGAAGGAATGCACTGCATCGTCGAGGTCTTCAGGTGTTTTTAAGGAAACTCTGAGGTCAATATTATCTTCCAGTATTTGACGGAAAAGGTTCCAGTTAACTGGCCCCCTGATAAATGAAGGTGGGGATGATTTGGGAATGGGAGATGTGGAAACGGTTAGGACTAGAGGACTATGGTCTGAGGAAAGATCATCAAACCTTGAAATAGAACAGTGTAGTGATCCTAGACCTTTGTGGAGGAAAAAGTCTAGAAGGTCGGGATTGCGGTTGGGATCTGTTGGCCAGTATGTGGGTGTATTAGGTGAAAGGATGTTGCTGCGATGGGAATTAAGTGCAGATAGCAATGTTCGCCCTCGGGAATTTGTGGATCTGGCTCCCCATTGCTGGTGTTTTGCATTTAGATCTGCACCTAGGAGGAAGTGGTGTCCTAAGGAATTCAGGAAGGAAATTATTTGGGATTCGGAAATGGGTGTTTTAGGTGGGGAATATGCCGCAACTAGTGTTATTGGGTAAAGGGGTGTTTGGATTATTACGGCTGTGGATTGTAGGAAATTATGGCTTGGTAAGGGAAACAAATGATGGGAAACGGATCGATGGATAATTATGGCAGTGCCACCATGTGCTGTTCCATCAGGATGGTCGGTTCGATAAATATTGTAGCCGGGCACGTTGATTTGTCGTTTGTTGGTTAGTCGAGTTTCAGTTATTAGTGCTATGTCGATGTTTTTGTCATGTAATAAGATTGTCAGTTCGTTGATGTGGTTCCGAATACCATTCGCATTCCAGAGGAGAATGGAGAGGAATTTGGTTGAGGACATTTATGGATTTCTTGGCAGTGGAATGAGGTTGGATATAACATTGGTAAGTAGCGAAATAAGGGGGGTAATGAGAGATCTAAATTCGGAAAGGAAAGATGTCAATAGGCTTGTGAGGTCAGTGGAATTGGAAGGAGGAGGAATGAATGTGTGAGTATTTAACCTACGTTCAGGGATGGAGGGATATGGGTCTTGAGGTTGATGTGTGAATTCTTGAGGTTTAGATTCTTGTGGCAGGGCCTGAGATTGAGTGTTTACAGTGTCTCCTTTGAACATCTGAGCATAGGACACTCTTCCGTTCACTGTTCTATAGGGTTGTCTTGGTGGCCTGATTGTCCCTTCTTCTCTAGGCGTTGCGTACATTCGTGTTTTCAAATCTTTGTAAGTTTGACAACCCTTGTAGTTGGCTGGGTGTCCTTGGTGGCATAAAGCGCATACTGCAGGTGAAGTTCTAGACTTCCTACAGTCCTCTGTTTTGTGTTGCTCACCACACCTCACACATCTAGGAATGTGATGACAATACCGTTTCGTATGGCCATAAGCCTGGCAGTTATGGCATTGAACGATGTCGCGCTTGCTGTAGGGCTTTTCTACAACAACGCTTGTATAATAAAGGCGTGTGACCTTGTAGATGTTTTCGACATCGGGTGTTCGGTCAAGGTCAACGAAGGATAGTGGAAGAGGTATTTTATTTTTTATTCCAGGCTGTTCTCTATCCTCCTTAAATATGTTCACTATCTGGCGAACATGGAATCCCATACCCGTGAGCTCTTCTTTTATAGCATCTGTTGGCGTAGATGGGTGCAGTCTTCTGATAACGACCCTGAGCGCCCTCTCTTGACGCAGTTGAAACGTGTGGTAATCAGCCTTGGTGTCAGATAAATATTTTATGATTTTTCTATAGGTTTCTGTAGTGTCGGGCATTAACTTAGTGTCATTGGTGCGGCTTTGGCATAAATATTTTCCTGAACCTACCAGATTATTCAATTGATTACACATCAATTGAAAATTTTTAATATTTCTAACAAATATTGGTGGGGGTTTGGGTTCTCTGGGGATGGATGCTGCTTCCATTTGTTCGTTGTTTATATTTGAAAGCACTTCAAATGGATTCGAAGTGAAAAACGGCGATTCTTCACCCATAGCTTGAGTTGTCTCATAATTGTTGGGTTGTTGTGAGGAGCCAGGTTGGGGTTCCACTTCTTCTATGAAGCTCCCTGGTGTGGCTGGTGGAGTGTTTCTTTTCGAATGCCTTGTCTTTTTTTTAATGGGAGAACTAATTGTAGTATCCAGGCTCCTGGACCTAGTGTTTTTGCCCTTACTCGACATTAGCATGTGATAATATCGCATTTCATATTTATTTTTAAAAGAAAAATTGATAAAAGTGAAGAGAGGAAAAAAAAAAAAAAAAATTATTGAACACGAAAATATAGACGCGCTCTTGGAGAGCACAGATCTGCCTCCGACGGAGGGATCTAGCCCACTGGTATTAACGACTGTTGCAGCTTATGGCTGGCCGTTATCTAACTAACCTAAGGTCTATTTACACTGTTCACTCTTGTGTTGTAAATAACTCACCTTATTTTTTTTGTCCAGTATAAACGTAATTGTTAATGTAACTGATAATACTAATTGTTCACATTAAACTTGTATACTGCCACTGATAAATGAGATTTTTATAAGAGACGACCTGACGTACGTTTAACTAGGGCTAACGCATGCGCAGAACTCCACCGCAATATTAAAAAAGAAAACTAAAATTAAATTTAAAAATGATAAAATAGGTATTTTACTTATTTCGGCTGAAAAAAAAAAATAAAAAATAAACAAACCGAAACACAGTGGTCTAATCTTAAAATGGAGATCATTTTCGAAACTATGTCTCCGATAACATATAAGTAGACCCTTACATCGAATAAATTAAATGAGTCGAAACGCAGTGGCGTTATCTTAAAATGCAGGTCATTTACAAAATCGACGACTCCGGAAACATATGAACAGACCTTAATATCGAATAAATTCTAAAAACTTAAACAGGTCGAAACGCAGTTGCGTAATCTTGAAATGGAGGTCATTTTCAAAACTACAGCTCTGGAAACATAAGAATACGGCCTTATATCGAATAAATCCGAAAAACTTAAATAAGTCGAAACGCAGTGGCGTAATCATAAAATTGAGGTGATTTTCGAAATCTACGGCTCGGGAAACACACCCTTAAAAACAATTAAATAAATAAAAAAATATTGAATTTGAAATGGAAAAGATTTAATTTGAAATGGAAAAAGATTAATTTGATTTGTAAAAGGTTGAATTTGACTTGGAAAAGGTTGAATTTGACTTGGAAAAGGTTGAATTTGACTTGGAAAAGGTTGAAATTGAATGGGAATGCTATAAAAGGGTACTTAAACAAATAAAAGTACCCACAATGAAATATACATAAATATAGCGTCTATAATTTTAACTTTTACTTCCTTATGTGTGAAAATACTTATTTCTGCTAATGGGGTGGTAAGTGAATGTGCATAATTTTTTAATTTATAAAAAAGTTTTATTTTAAAAAAGATTACATTTACATCAATATATTATTATTTTTTTCTTCTTCCCCTTCTGTACAGATTTTAAGCTGTGGCACAAGTATTTTGGTACCCGCCTCATAGAACTCCTTCATCCACTTAAAGATCTATGTTTCACCTCATTAGTTGAAATTTTTTTCCCACTCGTGTGGATCTTGAGAAAGTTGAAAATCTGAAAATCTGAAGTCCTCATGTCAGGGGTCTATACAGAGCTGATCAAAATGTCACAACCTAATGAGTTCTCATGTGCCTTAGTGGAGTTGCCCATGTGTGGGAGGGCAATTTCACGCAACAAACATACTTCCTTCATCTATATTCCTTTTGTTTGTTTTGGATTGCTCTCTGGGGATTTTTTAGGGACTCATAGAATCATGCTGTCTTAATCATCTCCCTTGAGACGAAAAATGATCCTTTTTCAGTCCTAAAACAAAAACCATGATCCTTTTGCCAGACATTGAGGTTTTGACTTTTTTGGCAGATGGGGAACCAGAGTGTCACTATTGTGATGACCGCCTTTTTGTTTCAGCAGCGTAATGAGCCACCCATGTTTTATCATGAATCATAGTGGAGCTCTAAAAATCAACATGCACCCAACACCTAGCGGAATTTCTAATTGACATGTTTTACAGAAATAGACAATATGAGGTTAGTTTTGGTACTAATAAATGTTGTCTTTGCCTGTTATTTTCAGAAGAATCCCCACTACTACGTACTCTTAATTTCTGAACATACCTCTTACTTACTTTACACAATCATGGAAAAATTTCAAATATTCTTAAAATTAAGATTTTAATTACCCTTAGATATAATCTTAGAAATTAGGAATCCTCCAAACTTTCCAGTCATGCAAAGTTATAATAAAACTTTTTATAAGGTTTGAGCTTTACACAGCTTCATTAACGATTTCTTTGCAGATGTTTAAAACTAATTAAACTATTCATAAATAAAAACCGTAAATATATTTAGATGTGTACAACAAGCACAATTGAAATAGTACAATAAATGATATGGCAGAATTTCCTAAACTTAGTACTCAGCTCATCAGTGGCATCAGATCCGTCACTAAACTGAGCAAAATGTTGCCCTCAATGAGCTCAGTGCTGAGTTTAGTTACTTGGCCATGATTTTCCAACTTCAATTATAATTCGATATGATATGTGCGCTGCAATTATTCACATTATTTTCTGTTCAAGAATCAAAATAAACATTATTCAATTACATGAGAATGGAGAGATCAAAACTGAAATATTGGGTAAATGATCAACTGAAAACAAATATATACTTTGTCTTTTTGTTCTAGAAGCTAATCTGGTTTCAAACTTCAAAAGAGTAACATAAATATTTCAATTTTATGTTGAATTGTTGGTTTTCAATTTGTTAACTAAATGTAAAATGGGCTGTAAATCTTTAATAACAATTTTCATTAAACTAATTATATAAGGCTTTTCTAGAAAGGATTTTAAAACATCTACCTGATTTAAAACATCTAAAGTAAATTTAAACTGTGAATTACATTCATGCGGCTAAATAATAAAATATCTGAAGCCGTATATTTTAGTTAAGTAATTCAAAGTATTTACAGTCAATTACATAATAAAAACAACTAATTACCTGCACAGCCTTCACTTTCTTTTGGAGGATTATTAGGATTCCAAAAGGGTTTCCAAATAGTATTGCTGTTGGTGGCATTATACCAAGCTTTGCTCACTAATGAACAATTCATGATGTCATACATGTCAAGATGGGCCAAAACTTTTTCAGAAATTTCAGGAGGTAAAAGGCCTATAAAGTCCATCCTAAAAGTAATATCATTCAAATATTAGCATTAAAAGCAATAAGTTAACAAAACAGGCAGAAATAAGTAGTTGAATTTTTACTTGAATAGTTGCAGAATACTTGAATATTAGTGTTTTAATTATGTTTAATTATACTTGTGTGGGTACCAAGAAACAGTTCATGATAGATTAAAAAAAAATTTTAAATCAAAAAACAATTTTCTTAAAATTATGATACAGTATAGCATTTATGTTGATTTCAGAAGGAAAGGGTCAGTACAATATCAAAATCCAATGGAAGAAGGATTATATTTATATATACTACTAACTATATACTCAGTTGGGTTAAACTAGAAAACAACCTGATGATATTACAATGACCGTAAACAATGAACACAACCAAACACACCAGTAACAAGAGAATAACCTTCCTCTATGAGATATTTTCCTTCGTTTTTTTAAGGCGTTAATTATTAACCTATTATAATATTATCCCTTGTAAATTGATTAATTAGACATATTTAAAATGCCAAATAGACACATCCCTTTTCTAGCAAGAACAGTTTTAGTAAGGAATGGCAATGTTGATGAAGCTGCTAGAATTTTGAATAGGTAGAATTATTTTTAAACAAATATCCAGAAAAATTTACTTTTAAATAACTATTTTGATGTTCATCTTTAATTTAGAATACTAGGAAAAGAAGGAATTTTGGACCAGTATCGTAGAACAAGATATTATGAAAAGCCATCTCAAGTAAGTATTCAAGATTTCACATTAATATTTTAGTGTATGATAATCTTTCCTAAATCATAGGTTGTAGTTAAATCTAATGAAATTGAAAAATATTTACACAAATTAGATTATATTTTCTTGTTCATTATTGCTGAATAAACATTTTGATCCTAATCATAAGCTGTCTCTACTTCCTGTCTTTCTTTCCTCTGAAAGAGAAGATGTGATCTTGTCTACTTGATAAAAAAAAAGCTGGTTCTTTTTTCCAAATATTTATCCACTTTGAGATTCTTAGTCATAGTTCGATAATATTTGTGTAAACGTTATAAAAATGTGCCAGTTTCTGCAAGTCGTGATTTTTAATTTTATGTCTTGAGGAACCTGTTTAATATGTCTTGGTAAAAAGTCACCAATTACATTTTTGATGGAGCTGAACTTTTAAGAATTTCTTTTGAATTTCAACCTTACTTATTGATAAGAAATGCATAGTAGATGCACTAAAATGACAGAAATTCTTTGATACATCTTGCATTGCTACAACAAGCCCACAATTTAATGTTTTACAAAGAGAAAATTCATCAAATTTCATTGTGATTTATTAAAGTTGTGTAAATATCACATAGTGACTTTTTGCTATTAACTGACGATATGTTCAATAACACAGCCTAACTGCTCTAATCAAGAAAATTTCAATATCATTCACGCCAAAATCAAATAATTTATTGCCACAGTGTCTTTCTTGTGTACTCTGTTAGCCCAAATGTACTAAAAGGTGGGCCCATTAAATATTAATACAAGTTTTTATAGACTAAATTTAGAATTATAATAATGAAGTGTTTAAATACTTTTGACTCTTGTTAATTATTGATTATTTCTAATAATTTAGTTTTACTGCAATGTTGTGCAGGTTATATGATCAGAGATATGTTTTTTTATTGATGTATTAAATGATTTTATTATTTTTAATGAATAACAATAATATCAATATATTTTATTTTATATTTTTTATATCAAAATACTTTTGACCCTAACTATTCCTAGTTCTGTTATAAATATTGTTACAAGGAAATATATACAGATTTCAACAGAAAAATTAATTTTTTCAAAAGCTTTATTAGAAAATAAAATATATATCTATTGAGACTAATACAAAAAAGAAATGACTCAAAATGTCCCCCTTTTGCCTTGACACAGGCATTTAATCTCCATGGCCAGTCATCAATAGCAGCATGCAGCCAGCACTTCTTGAGGAAAGCGCTCAACTGCTCGAACCAGAGATTGTTTGAGGATTTCCAAGCTAGGGTGTGCTCTTTGGCATGCTAACCTCTCCAGTTCGGACCAAAGCCGATAATCGAGTGGGTTGAGATCAGGGTTTCCTGAGGGCCAATCCGACGCACGGATGAACTCTGGATTGTTCTTGTGCAGCCACTACTGAGTTGACCTGGCCTTGTGAGCTGGAGCGGAATCCTACTGGAAACCCAATGACTTCCAGCAAACAGAGCATCAGACTTCCTGGGCTTCTTTAGAGCTGTGTGCGTACACACGATCATTTTGGGGATTAAATTTTTCTTCAATTGTAAAAATTTTTTCATCGCTAAACTAAATCTTTCGATGAAGACCATTGGTGTAATGGCCTAGGAGCACTTTGCATTTATCCACTCTATTTTTTTTTAGGAAAGTGGTTAGCCTTTCAACAACAAGAAATCTGCTACAGATTCCCATTTCCCGAGACATGATTTGTTGTTTTAAAATGTGATTTTTCTGATTTTGAGCAGCCACTCTCACTGCATTTGCCATTCTCACAGTGTGGGGATGGCCTGGTTGAAGTCTGTCGCATACAGTTAGGGTCTCATTATATCTATTTATAGTGTGGTACACAAACATATGTCTGAAACCCAAAGATTTCAAAGTGTTGAAAACCTCTGACCTACATTTTCCAACTTTGTGTAAGGCGATCACAGCTATTCGGTTTTCTTTATCACCCCACTTCATGTTAACTGAGTGAAAGAAAAATACAAACTAATTGTGATTATCATCTTGATATGTTAAGAAAATAACCTGATAGTTGTATTGATTATCTAAATAATACCCAAGGATGTAAACAAAGTTCAACTTTTGTAACACTATGACAGAACTATGTACATATGTGAAACAACCTTACAATGAAACTCTACTGCCAAACAGATATAAATATTTAGTGAACTTTTATGTATTCTAAACTTTTAATAGTGATTTGAGTTAAAGAAAATCAGTCATAATTTAAGCTCATCAGAAACCCATCAGACCATTCCAAAACTCAGCATGGAATTCAGCATGTTGTACTAAGAATTGGTGGAAATTATGAATCACTCCACTGAATGCTAAATAAATCGTAAATCAAAACTTATACACAGTCACAACATTTTAGTTCTAATAATATACTTATTGAATATGAAAGAAATAGAGGGGGGTTGGTCTTAAGTAATGGTTGTTGGATTTAGTTTTCCCAGATCTGTAGGTAGTGGTTTTAACTTTACTTTAATTGTATATGTTATTATTCATAAATTACTATAGTGTATTTTTGGTTTAAATGAGTTAATTAAATTGTATATTTATGTAGTAATCTTTCAAATTTGTCATCTTTTAATTTTTTAGCAAAGGAGGAGAATTAATTATGAAAAATGCAAAGCCATCTATAACGAAGACATGACAAGAAAAATGCAATTTATTATGAGAAAAAACAGAGCCGATCCATTTCCAGGATGTATTTAATATTTCTTTTATGTTGATTGTGTCAGATGTAATTTCTTACATATTTTTTAAAGTGTTTAGACTTTTAATATTGTCTTCTAGCCTAGTTTTGTATTTTAACACTTTAGTGTAAACAAACATATAATTATATTAATAAATTATATATGTTATTAAAATTTCAATTTTACATCATTTATTATTTCATTAAAATTTATTGTATTCTTGAAGAGAAGTTGGTTGGGGATTGCAGTCATTGGAAGTAAAAAAAATAAAAAAAACCTGTACCACTACAACCAACCCATGAAGGGTCTTGATTTCAGTGCTATGTAAGGAAGTCATGTTAATTAGTCATTGGCTGTGCCAGGAGGTGATTTGACTGATATGCTCAACTACCAGGTTTTCTCCCTTAATTAAATAATTAAGAGTTTCCTCTTTATAGAATCCGGGTATGCCCCTTGGAAGGGCGGTGTGGCCTGTGTGTGCACAGCACCATTTCAGGTCCCAGTGCCAAAAGGAGAGGGCTTTTAATTCTGGCATATTTAATTCCCTGGTATGGAAAAATCTGGCAGCAGGGTGGCTGAATAAGGTAATGTGTGTGCACAGCACTGTGGGTTGCCAGGCAATGTGATAACTGAAGGTAGGTGGAAAAATATTACGAGTTCAAATCCCCGTACCTGGAGGGAATTTTAACTCGGCATATTTCCCATCATCCTCCCCTGGACTAGGAAAAACTCTGTGTAGCTTAAAAGGCAAGGAAGGGGAAAAAAGTTTCCAGAAAAATCTCATATAGTCTAAAAGGAGAGGAAGGGAAGAACAAAAAAAAAAGTGGGTCCCAGAAGGGTCTCCCAACTTCAGGATCGTCGATTCTATGAAGTACAAAGTAATAATAAATTATATTTTATACGCATTCAACAATTTAACCATCACCAAAAACTCATTGTACACTTTTGGTACAATATATATAATATAAACCAAACAGCACATAAATGTGTCATAAAAAAATGATGCACACTACATTATCTATCAAACTAAGTTACACTAACAAGGTGAAGTCATCGAATTACAGTCAGTAGAACAATCTCTGTTTTTTTTATTCAGAATCAAAAAATATTGGAAGGGTATTCGGGTGTTTGTTCCTGTTTATCTTAGGAGCGGAGAAATAAATTATTTTTATTAAAATTTATAATTTTTTTTGCATGGATTTCTAGTTTATTATGTACCACTCAATTTATTTTATTGTTTTGTAAAATAACAAAAAAATATTTAAAATCGCAATAAACGTTCAAATGTATCAGAAATAGAAGATACCAAATGCAGTAAAAAGGCTAATTAAATTTTTGTTATGAAAAACAGAGTTAGATTAGTTTTTAGTGTACTTTAAAACTCTTAAATACAAATTTTTATATAAATCAAAAAATATAAATTTTAAGATTTGATTTTTTTTCCCTTCTGTTTTCTAAACCATTCATAACTTCTCAAAACTGTTCTCTTACTTAATGTTACTGTTGTTGTTTAAAAGGTGAATTACTGCTCTTCCAACCTATATCAATAACTTTTAGATGTTATGTCCCTGTTTTGTGTTATTCCTTTGATTATAATTTGCTTATGGAGGTCAAGTGTGTGCCATTTCATGCATTCTCATACATCTACATTAGTTGGTTGGTGCAGACTGTTTCTATATTGTTCTTATATACCTAGCTAAATTGAACCCAATGAGCACTGTGGGTCCAACGAATCTTTATGAAGACGAAATTATGTAAAAGATAAATGATAGGAGAAAAGTAACAATTGGCTACGCATCTTGATTGATTGAGCCGTTTTCGAGAAAATTGTAAAAATATGTAAAGTGTCACTCACTACCGTTAAGTCAATTTTGATGAAAACGTTAGTGTAACATCCCGGACCTATGTCTACTTTAAAATGTAATTTCAGTACAATACAACTTTCTGTCTATTTTTGAGCTTGACTGTTCACATGCACACCATATTGCGAAACTTGTTTTTCCAGTATTTCCATTGAAAACTTCGATTCGAAATTTCGAAGGCAATACTTCCCCTTTCTATATATTATATATATATACGTAAGTGGCGTGGTGGTCGGGCGGTCGCTTGGCCCAGGTTCCTCTCGCCCCATATTTTTGTCCACTGTCGCTAGAGTTGAATAAAAACCAAAAGAATTGTCAGGGTTATTTATTTGATAATAATAAACTTCATTATATTTCCACAATTTTAATTTTTTTTTTTTTTTAAGTTTCATATTTTATGGTTCTGAGAAATTTGATAAAAGGAATTTTAAAATCACAGCCTTTCCTTTAGCAAGAAGAAAGTTTAAAAACATTCTAGAAGTAGTTGGTTTCCCAACCACAATTATACTTGGTGGAACATGCAGAACGGATGTTTCTTCGATTGACGGAAGTTATTACAGATCCGGTCCGAGATTTATTTTATCTATATACAGGGAACTGTATGAACGGAATTCCGAATAAATTAAATGAGGATGGTGAAGAAGACTTGGGACTCTCCCCGCAATTACCGCTGATACTAAAACCCGTATTTCATATGAAAACGAGTTGTTGCTATCATCATTCTAGGTATTGTAGTCCAAAGCTGAAAACTCTCTAATTCCAAAAGAACCAGGCCTGCGGAATTTGTTTTGTTGGTGGATGCAAAGTTATCAAACAAAATATCAATATAATCGTTTAAAAAATGAATTAGTACAAAATAATAATTTTTTTATTTAAGAGTCAGAAAACCTACTCGAAGTCCGTAATTTTGTGTTGTGGTCGAACCCATCATCCATAAATTATCATCGCGAATTAAAATTTGTACGTTGTAAATGTTCCTCAGATGACGCTGTATCTTTTTGCCTCTTGAATTCTAATATTTTTAAAACCTTTTTTGATTTTATATTATATATAAAAATAATACATATAAAAAAATATTGTGTATATACTCTATATATATATATCTATTGATGATACTGTATATTTGTATATTAGTTTTAAAAATTGTCCGTAATGATTGATAAGTTTGCTGTGGTTGTAGCAACCCAATATTATTGGACAGCATCTTTTATGCAAATAAAGTGATTCTCTCTAAAATTGGTTCCAATTAACATCTTCAAGAAAATATACTTATATTACAACCAAGAAACATGCCGAGTTTTACAACTGCTAGAAAATATATAAACAAAATTAATTAATAATGATGTAGAGATGGTTGGCCGTTGATATAATATGAGAAGGAGTTGATCGGGGGAGGGGAGGAGGGGGGGGGGGGTCAAATTAATACTAAATTAAACAAGTAGAATTATTTAATTTTTGCCGACGTTTCGACCCACTTTGCCAGGTCTTCATCAGGGCTACAAAAGATACAAAACATGGTGAAAATAATATAAATGAATATAAGTAGATATAAAATAAGAATAAGCTGTCTGATACAGAAATAAAAGATGATATCAGTAATATTATAACTACATTGTCACCCACTATATATCTGATATCATCTTTTATTTCTGTATCAGACAACTTATTCTTATTTTATATCTACTTATAATCATTTATATTATTTTCACCATGTTTTGTATCTGTTGTAGCCCTGATGAAGACCTGCAAAGTGGGTCGAAACGTCGGCCAAAATTAAATAATTTTACTTGTTTAATTTAGTATTAATTTGACCGCTCTCTCCCCCCCCCCCTCCGATCAACTCCTTGTCTTAAAATTAATTATATTTTCTAAAATTTTATTCAAACTTTTTATAGAAGATTATGAATAGTTTCATATGGTGTATATGAATAAATTTAGAACTTTAATAAAAACGCATTATTATTTAGTTATTTTGCTTTTGTTTATTTTATGTTTTCTGTATGTAAGGTGTGCATGTTTTCATATCTCAATATAATTATTTTCCGTGTGACAGATAGTTACATTTCTAAATAAACAAATTTAAAAAATAAAAACAAAATATATTCAAAATGAAAATCAGGAATTATTATTTTTTATTTTATTTTATTAAAGCTCTCTAATCAGCATGGAAGATTAGTAGTTGCACGAAAATATTTAAGTTATATATAACTTTTGGATTCGCTTTGTGACCTAATGTTAAAAAAAAAAAAAAAAAAAAAAAAAAAAAAGAGAATCTAAACCTGAATAATATGGTCAGTTAAAGAAAAAAAAGGTCTGAGGAAGCGGGACTTGGTGCCAGGTAAGGATGAGTCACCCAAACGCCCACCAGGAGGTATTCACTACACCGCACCGCTACTCCCGGCCCTTTCATCCTCCGCTACAAACCAGCACATTTATCACCCAATGGCCAAGGATTGTAACTTGATTACACATCGCAAATAAATAAAACTTTTAAAATTTGATGCATACAAATTAATTATTTTTAATCTATATTATATATAATACGGTAGTAGTAGATAGATCCCTTTTTCGGCTCTCAGATACTAATGGTTTCGACCAATGAGATATCAAACGAAAAGGAATTTGATGGATAAGTGTCGAATTCCAATTTCGAAATTGAAACTCCTTTTACAACAATAATAAAACTCTATGAAAAAATTGAGGAGGCTTTAAAATTCAGATAATCTTAAAAGTCAAAGATAGGTATTAAGACCTATTATATTTTCAATGCCCTGTGTTTTAAACCCCTAAAATGTACCGTTTTCGATATAATGTATCATTCATGCCGAAAGCTTCTTATTTTCTATATCAAGGGATATTTATCACCTGTTTGGTTTTAAAAAATTAAAATATTGCTTTGACGAACTAAAACTTAATAAAAGGGTAAGTAAGGAGGATAGCTCTATTATCCCTTGAGTACTTATACAAAAATCCTAATTGCACTTCGGTTTATATAAGAATAAAAATGTTTAGCTGATACCGCTTATTCGTCAAATGCATTAGAGAGAGCCATCTAATGAGATAACTACCTATTGAGTTCTCACTGGCTTACGCTAGCCTGTTGTTTATTTCGACTAATATTCCTCATTTCATATATTAAACTTTTTTTAAATGATATTTCCATCCGACATATCAATATGTTTTATAAGCTTAGAATATTATTAGTCTGTAGTACAGACACCTTTCTGTCGAAGTATTAATATCAGCCTAAAATTTCGTGAATAGCTTTATCTCATCGTAACCTACAAATGTTATATTTACGAAAATTCTCGGAATTGGGTCGTTTTCAATCTGGAGATTGACAAACTTTTTCTATTTAATTAAGTAATAGAACCTCATGAATACCCATTTGCTTTCTACTTAAATAGTAAGTTAATGTGATCATAAAGTCGGGAAAAAAAGATGGTCGACAAAAATATTGGTCCGTTTGGCCTTTATAATTTAGCTATTTTAACATTTTGGGGGTGGAGGTCACACCAAACGATCAATGTTTTTGTAGCCCACTTTTTTTTTCGACTGTGTGATCATATTACTTTAAGATTCAAGTGGGTATTCGTGAGTTTTTAGTACCTAATTAAATAGACAAAGTTTGCCGATCTCGAGATTGAAAACATACCAATTCCGAGAATTTTCGTAAATAAATTATTTATAGAGTGCGATGAGATAAAGCTATTTACGAAGTTTTTGGCGGATGTTAATAATTTGCTAAAAAGGGGTTTGTACCACGGACTAAATTATCAAAATATAAAAAGTTTACTTATGATCATTAATATTGAACAGGATGTCGTTCTCAAATTAGTCGTAACTCATCGAAAATTACAATACAATATTTGTTCCTTGCAAAGATAAAAAATTATGATTTTTTTTTTATATTTAATCTGATAAAAATGAAGAAAGGCGTTTATTTAAAATGAGGAGCTTTAAATAGGATAAAATGAATAGAGCAGAGAAAAAAAAAAAGAATGTAGCTATTTTTAAATGTGTACCGAATCATTTTCACTTTAACTGGATAATTATTTCCATAAAATTATTTAATAAAATTTTATTGTAAATATCGTGTGTGTTTTTTTCAGCCCTTAGTATTTTTTTTTTAATTAAGTATTGTTCATTTATTTAACAAATCGTTCTGATTTTTTTAAAATATTTACTTGCAATACTACATACAATTAGTAAAAATGAACATCGGAAAGGTTTTTCATGTAATTTTCCCACGAGTGCCTTCGAAGGGGGCAAGAAGTCGAATAAGGGACAGAGTTACCTGTGCCGGTCCCTTATACAAAAGTACCTGTTACCTTGCTACCTGTCGTCCCTTCCTCTGCTTGCCAAAGAAAGAACCCTCTACTAATAAACTACCTGCCCGTGGGCTAGAT